CTGGATTACCAGTAATTTCACCCTTGACTTCAAGCTCTGCTGTGCCGGGAGGAGCATCTGATGCAACTTCAACAACCAAGTTTATGGGGTTTCCTTAAAAGATGAGGAAAGACGGTTATGTATCTGAATATCAGAGAAATATACGAGAAAAACTTAAAACACTGGTGCCATTATTTCATGCTTAGCTTTATTGTGATAACAAACTTTCAGTAACCTTCAGACAAAATATTCACAACAGCATCTAAATAATACATACAAGTTTAAACAATATTCGTCACATATAAAAACATCAGTGTGAAGTCCAATCCATCATTCGATTTACAACTTGTCAATGAGTTATACCGTGTTCGGGGAATGCCATCCCTCATTAGTAATTCTTGCCATGGCTTCATATAGTGGGGTGTATATCACATGCACAATGTAAGTAAAATACATTTCAATACACCGTACATATAATATTGAACAAAATCGTTTTTTCTCAGAATATTTTTAAAAAGGCTGACCCTTTTACACCAATTTCTTATCTCCATATTATTGTTTCCGTTTTTCACAGATATCAGTAATCTCGCTTTTGGTTAATATGTACTTAATTTATATAGCATTGTAATGGAGATTTCTTCTGCCGCCATAGGACTCCATTTATAGTTTATTTTATCTACTTGGTAAAATTAGAATAAATTTAGATTTTTACTTATTACGAAAAACCTTATTGCGACAGTTTTCATTTACGAAATTGAAATCACTACATATTTACGGGGGAGATATGATCCCAAATTACTACTTTATTGGAGAATGAGTGTAAATTTATCTATTTCTCAACTGGACCAGATGTAGCCGAGTGTCAAGCTTAAGTATGTGAAGTTATCTAAAACACGATTTACATCACGATACATAATTATAAGAAATGTCAGTAAAAGTCTGACATCTACTTTTATGATGTATGATAGAATAGAAAGCAAATTCTTCGTAAATAAAGGGTTAGATTTTTACATTAAAAATTGAGTATATCTATTCATTTTTGCTTTGAGTGCTAATGGGGTTCATAACAAAATCAGAAGTAATTCTGTGTAACTTCAGTAAAATGATGAACAGAAACTACAAATTTTAGCGAGCCTTTATAAAAGCGAAAACTTAAACGATTTATCAAACTCTTTTAAAAATCTGAGTGATGGCTTTATGCCAAAAGAGTAAGAACTTTCTTTAAGCAGTAAGACTTGGTGAGTAATGAAGAAACTGATTCACATGAGGGCTTTAACTTACCGTTAATAACTGTGGCTGTAGAAGAGCTCAGAACTTTATTTTTGGAATCTCTTAATACGAGCGTGGCTGCTCCGTTCCCAAAGACATTGAAGAAAGTAAGAGTGACTTGAGTTGTAGATCCTGTTTGAACTTCTGTTGGAATCGTCAACAAATAGCCCCTACAAAATATATTTTTATTTATAAAAACATAAATAACTAATTCCAAAATAATAGTTGCGAGATTCCTAGATTATCAAAGCAATTATTTGTTTGTAGTTAAGCATAAAGCAACACGGCTATCGAAACATGGTTTCTAGCGTTGTAAGTCTGCAGACATACCGCTGTGCCACTAGGGGGAATCAAAACAACCCAAAACATTTTAGATAATCTCAGTTTATATGTGAGAAATAAAATTTGAAACTTTTATGGTTTTGTTTATTTCAAATTCATTTTAATCCTTTCCACACAAGTGAATCATTGTTAGCCAATAAAATCAATCCATATTGTTATATAATATTCCATTTACTTTGTAAAAGTGTTGTGTATAGATTTTCTCGAGATTTGTTACATAAAATATAATACCAAATTTTTAACAGTAAACAGAACAGAAAAATAATTCTAACTAAGGTCTAGTTTTTGTTGTTTGATGAAAATGGATTTTCCTATTGTTATGTATTACAATTTCGAATGGTCTGAAACCGAGCTAAATGATAATTTAAATTTAGTAGTTAAATAAATGCCAATGTATATCTGCAGTTTATGATAATTGCAAACAAGATTGATACACAAAGATTTCTTTTTTTAATACAAATGTTTTAATATATATATATATATATATATATATCTATATATAAACAATAATACAATTTATAATAATAGTTATTACAAACAATGATTTATATACAAACAATATAAAGTCTACTTTCTGGTCTGGAACTTCCTTGATGTCTTATCGAGGGTTCACGATGAGCGAATAATTTTCGAGTTGATGTAGGTATAATTCACTTAACAGGGAGCTAGCTGGCCCTGTAGTTATTGCTTATCACACGCCGATTTTTCCCCACCAATGACGTTAGGTAATGTTTTTGTAAAATTACTAATGTACGATAAGAATCCACTAAAGTTGAATGATTTGTAATGTTCGAAATTTATAAATGTTTCTGATCAAATATATGAAGTTTCCCAATTAATAAGCGTATTAACAATCACAATTATAGCTTCCGTAGTTTATAGCACGCCAGCTATAGCAAACCAATAATATATACTATTTTTTCGCACGTCGCGTTGGTTATATTTGTAGGCTTGTAGAGAGTTTCTCGAAATTTCAGTTTTACATAACAAAACTGATGCTAACACTAGCGTTTACGTAGACACATATATTGTTGATTTTTACACTAGAGAATATTCTAGAGAATAGGCGGGAGTTTTGCAATACATAAATAACAGCATATGTTATCTACATTTCTAAATATAAATTTAATTTAAGCAAACATCGATTTTAAAATATATGCATAATAATAAATCCAAAGTACTATTCTTAAAGTACATCATCACATGCAATACTGATAACTGTAATTGTAATGTTTGTGCTAGAGTGTTATATTACATGTACGGTCTGGATATTCAGTTTTGCCATAAAGACCCACTGTAGTGTGTCGTGCGGACAAAATAACCTGCAGGACACACCGTGTGTTCCTAACACGAAGGAAGTTAAGCTATTTTCCACTTTCCGTTGCTCAGAAAGTGGTAAACCAAACACATATTTTGAGTGGATGTGCTTTATTGGACTCTTACTTCACATATCATCTATCAAGGCAATCCATTCATAAACTCCCGAGATATAATATATCCAATTTTTATTGAATTTGCGCACCAAAATAAAATATTTGGTATACTGATATATCCTTACAACCTATAATTGAGTGTCAATTTTTGTCTGAATATAAGCCACACGTGGAAAGTTATTCAATAAAAACCGCTCACATCTGACCAAAATGTTTTGCACACGCCTACGCAAAACGTCTCGTGAGCTATCGATCTAAGATATTTACTGAGTAAAAGTGGACTGTTTTAGTTTTTTGTCATTGAGATTAAAGACGGCTGATTTGGAGTTGCAAACCTATAGAGTGGAAGGACGGACGTGCAGATATGTTAGTATTGGTTAGGTCAAGCAACTAAGTTAGCAGTTTGTAGCTAAAGTTTTCAAAATAATTATACCAGGTGGATGTTTATTATTCATTGCCAAAATTTAAGCATAAATGTATTAAATTCTATGAAATTACTTTAATTAAAGAGCGTTTAATGTCACGTGATATTAGCTTCAGTAATTAACGTAAATAATGATGCTTCATACATCTGTAATGAGTGCATGCGGGTGATGACAAGAAACTATTAATCTAGATTCCATGGCGTTATTATAAAGGAAGTTATTAACACTGTTTTAGAGAAGAAAAACTGCTACCATATAATTTAAAGAATCTGATTGGTTGTGTACAGTAAAGATCGTTTCTGAATAATTGGATTGCGATCCTAGAGCTAATCTGGGTTACTGTTGAGTGTCACTTTCTTACTTGCTGAGGATTGTTGGCGTATACTGACAAAATTTATGATACCTATTAAAAAAATCATCGTAGGTGGGAAAAAAGTACAAACACAAAACGTATTGAGCATTTGATTTGAAAGAATGAAATCAAAATTGGTGGCGAAACTGGTACAACATTTATAGCATCGATAAGATTGTTAGAGCAAATAAAATTTTTATGATTAGACTTGTTTCTAACATTAAATTATCTGGTTTTAAGTTAATTTGTAACTTTTTTGAACAAATTACGTTATTGTCAATATACGGTAGATGAGTTTCAAGTTGTTATTATATGTAAAAGACTTAAAACTTGATATTGAGAAAGTATGCAAGTTTGATGTCTTTATATAGAAATATTCCTTTTAATGAAGAATTTACACTTAACATTGATTTATTACTATATGATGTTTAAACAGATATTCCTAAATGCGTCTTTTAAAAAGGTGTTTTACATTTCTTGTTGCCCCCAGTGGACCAGCGGTACTGCGGACTTCCAACGCTAGAAACCAGGTTTCGATACCTGTGGGGAGCAGAGCACAGATAAC